GAGAAAGTAAATGACTTGTTGAGTATAATTAAATATACTTCTTGGAAGTAAAATTCATTTAACTAATTTATCTGAGACAATCATTTCATAATGTGTATGTTTAGGGAATCATCACATGTATAGCTTGAATATGTACAATTTTTGCCAACTGTGCATCAATAAAGGTAGGGAAAAAATTTTTTTTGAGACGGGGTCTTGCTACATAGTTCAGGCTAGCTATGAATTCACTTTGTAGCCCAGGCTGACTTCAACATCAGAAAACATGGAATAAAATAAAATAATGGGAAAATCAAAATATAGTGATACCAAGGAGGGAGAGTCCGGGGTTCAAGATAAATTTTAGAATGAAAGTGAGCTCCAGCTGGAGGCATCAGGAAGGCAGAGGCAGAAACACTAAGTGGTTCATGTTCTGCCCTGCACGGTAGAACTGAGGGAGCGGTGACTGCAAAGTGCGTTCCTCTCCAAGTGGGCGCCTCCCACCACACCAGCTCGGAGGAGAGGATTCAGACTGATCAGTGCTGGCTGCCCAGTGCTTACCTCAGTGCCCATTAAACCGAGGGCCTCCACGGACAGTCTTCTGAAAAGAATGAGCAATCCACCACATTTCCAAGTGGGAAAAAATACACTTTGAAATCTCATGAGAAAGGCGGCAAAAGAAAAATGATACAAGGTGGCTCACTGACTGCTTGATTGCTTCAACAGAGTACCGAGTCTGTGCAAGAACTGGGACCTCAGAGGCTGCCGAGGTCACAGCCACACAGAAAGGCACCTTGGAAAGAGCTGGAGAGCCCACCCACCATGCTCTCCAATGCCATTTCCCCCCTAATGGCTATGCTCTGAAAAAGGAAATGTTCTACTAATCATAAATACAATATAGATAAAAGCATCTTTAGAAAAATTTTAGTCTCTTATGGATTTTAAATTTATAGCCAAAATACAAGAAAATATTTAGTGTTCCAGCAAAGATTCATGCTAAGTCGTTTGTCCTTTCCTCCTTCTGCCCTGATCGTCCCCTCTGTGTAAAACTCTGTAATAAAAAAGAAAATGACAAGAATAATTATTACACAAAGTCAGAAGGTTAGGGGTGGAGAAATGCCTGGGAAAGTATCTGAGAGTGGAAAAGGAATGCCCGCTCTCCTATCAGTTGTGCGGGGCGGCAGACATCCAACCCGGCAGTGGCTCACATCTCAAAGGCTCTCCGTGGAAGGACACAGAGTTGTCGGTGAAATCAGAAGGGCAGTCACAAAACCCAACACTAGCATGAGCTGGAGCAAAAGCGCTACAAGGATCTGGGGTGGAAACAGCAGATAGGTTCTTGGGGGCTTGGGTTCTGAGGTCCAGGCATTTCCCACACCTACCTTACTCAGGAATCAAATCTCAGAGGGGAAGGGGCCAGTGTGCAGTTCTGATTGGCCCAGTGAACATCACAGCTTAATCTCACCAGGGAAAGATAATTTTTATTGTTAGATCGGATCTCACCACATTGCCCAGGCTGGCCTTGAAATTTGGGCTCAAGCAATCCTTCTGCATCAGCTTCCCAAGTAGCTGGGATGACAGACATGCACCACCACACCTGGCTTCTGGGATGGGACATTTTGAGTTACAGTTTCATCACGATTACGTGCATCCCAAGACCAGGATGAATGATATCACTCAGTGGTGGAATGCTTGTCTCTCCTGCAAGAGGCCTAGAGTTCAATCCCTAGCTCTGCAAGGAAAAAAAATGCATAGGCCCTCAAGACTGACTGTAACCCCAAAGTGAAACTCATGTTCTCTAGAAAAGTCAAAAGCATTCTAGAATAGCAAGTCAGTGACATCAGTCAAGAAAAACAGCCATGGGTGTCCACAGTATGTCTTGGGGTTGGGATAAAAGAGCCACAGAAATCTTCAGGGAAGGGTTAGCATTGAAATCAGGCATTAGAACATAAAGAGCATGTGAACACAAACAACAGGGAAAGAGTCAGGCTTGGAAGCAAGAGATCAATGGAGGAACAGAGGCACAGATCAGAGACCAGAGAGCAAAGCTTGCACTGTAGTGGTGTGCAGAAAGCTGCAGATGTTTTAGTTGGGATATAGCATAGGTGAGGAAAGCACATGAAGAATCACTGATGACAATCTAAGGAGTTCATAGTTTATTCTGTAAGCAATGGGTAGATGAATATTTGAGGTGGGAGATGTAGTTATGTAATTAACTATTGAAATCAGCTACAAGGGCTGATAAAAAATATGATGTATGTTTAAATAAAACAATTCATCACAGTAAAAGACATATTGTCATTCATCCCCCTTTAATTACTCCTCTCACTTCAAACACACTTATTCCATCATTCTTGCCACTTTCTGAAGCAGTTCTGGAAGTCCTCCTTCATGAATGTCTTTACAAGTGTGATCAAAACTACAGTGAATGCGGCTGCCAAGTGACATCCAACAGAAAGGCAGCTCCTAAAAACATGATGGTATGTCTTCCTCCACATTATTCACTGGATCTGGCACTGTACGTCTTCTTGCTCTATCTCAAAGTCAAAACGAACAGGACAGGTAAATGTTCTGAACCATTCAGGACATTGAAGCAGCCAGGGCAGTGCAACTAAAGACACCCAGGAAAGAGCACTTCCAGAACTGCTTCAGAAAGTGGCAGGCACAATGGGATAAGTGTGTTCAGGGTGAATGGGTATATTTTGAGGGCAATTAATAGCAATGTGTCTTTTACTATAATAGATTTTTAGGTAGAAATACAGCAGTTTGGACATTATCTCATTAGGCATGTATTTGAGAATGTATTTGAGAGTGATACAAGAAACATCATAATGCCTGAAGTTATCAACAGGACTTACTTTGAGCCAACATGACACAAAGTGAAGCTAAACACACAGCTAAAAACCCATCACCAAAATCCAGGAAACACCATGCCCTCAAACCCTAACCATGCAGGTTAGCCCCTGTTATCCTCCAAGTTCTTGGTTAGTTAACCGAACATTCGTCCTTATTAAAATCAAGCTATTTAAGAAAGTCTCTAAATGCATGGATATGATCCCAGAGCTTGAAACTTCAAAGCAAAGGGAATCAACCCAGTGTGTATCTACCTTCCTCCAAAAACCACAGGAAAGATGTATAGGACAGGGGCTGGCAAACTTTTCTTTTAAAAAAAGGAAACACTTTAGCCTTTGTGAGCCCTATAGTGTCTGATGTAGCTATTCCACTCCATTCAAAAGCAGCCATGAATAATATTTAAATGAATTAATGTGGCTGTGTTCCAGTAAAATTTTATTTCTACACTCAAGTTTGAATTTCATATAATTTTCACATGCCATGAAACAGTCTTTTTTTCATATTGTCCAGCATTTAAAAATGTGAAACCCGTGTGTAACAAACAGGCCATGAAAAAGAAACACAAACAAAGCCAACAAACAAAAACAGGCACTAGACTGGACTGGACTCATGCAGTGAGTCATTCCTACAAACCATGGGTGTAGAGCCAGAACCAGCACATCTCTGGAGCCAAAATCAGTACGAACATATTCTGAATATAGTGGATGGGCCAGGAGAGGGAAAATACGAGAACAAATTAATATCTCAATAGCTTATTCTGCTCAGCTTGATTTTGTTTCAAATGAGTGGGGTTCTCCTTTCAGTTTTCCTTCCTGACATTAGGAAGGAATAATATTCAATATTTGTGAAACTACAGGCTCACGTAATGGAAATTCAATCTACAGTAATGAAAGCCTTTGAAAGTGCAGTGGCTGAACAAGATAGAAGTTTAGTCTCTAAAGGAGCAGCTTGTGGATGCTTGAGCTCACTCACTCTGTTATCAATACGGAGCTCTCAGCTCCCAGTCTTCAGATGGCTACTCCAGCATCTACCATTACATTTGCTGCCCAGCCAGTGGGGAGGAGAAGGAAGGAATGGAGATCACTCTTTTCCTTTTGCACACAACCTGGAGGTTGTATGTGATCTCTGCTCACCGCCCATGGCCCGAACTTAGTGTTAAACCACAGCTCGCCAGGTACTGGCATGGAGGAGGAGCTGGGAGATATAATCTTCATCCAAGAAGCCATGGATCCAACAAACTAAGGGGTTCTATTCTTCAGTAATGGTGACCAGACCCATGGCCTGTGTTCCACTCTTAAAAAGAGACGCCTAGGACAGATTTGTAACGATACTGAAAGACAGCGAGAAGTCTCTGCTGGGTGTTGCTGCATGTCACGAAATGATTTCTGTGTTTTATAGGGAGATCACTTTATTGCTTCAGTCAGGAAGTCACTCTAAATATTTTAATGAGTGACTTAAATCCTAAAAATAGAAGTCAGTTATTCAGTTGGCAGCTTCTTTCCCAGTACTTTGACCTCAGTCGCCTCCATAAGATCAGAGATTTGTTCACTGGCTATCTGAGCACCTATCATGCCAGGTGTCTTTCCAGGACAAGTGCAAGCCCTCATTTCCTTCCCCGTTGACGATCTCGCTCCCACTCTAGTCCCTGTGAACACAGTCCCTGCAATGTGTGTTAGAGCCTCTGGAGAGCACCGGAAGGGCTGGTTTGGTGGGGACAGAAGAGGACTCCAGCCCTTGACAATCTCCTTAACCCTTACAAATTCACCCCCCCCCCAACACAGGCGCCAACCAACACCCTGTATCCTGTGCAAAGGTAGTTGCAAATAGTCTAAGTCCTTACGCATGACTAGGAGAGAGTCGCCAAGCATGCAGCAGCAGGAAAGGCAGGGGTGGTGAGGGTGACAAGAAAGAGAGCAGGAAGAGTAACGAGGAAGAATTTAGGAACAGGGACCCAGAAGGGGGAGGAACCCTCACTGACTGAGGCTTCCAGTATTTACAGGGTCCGAACCTGCATAATGAACTCCGGATGCCTCCCATTCTGTCTCTTACTGGTGTTGATAATTTGCTGCCTTGGTATCGGCATTGTGACCGCCTAAGCTTAAGCAGGGAGAACCATCAGAGCAGTGCGGTGTCCACAGCTGAATGGGGAAAAGCTCCTGCAACTTCCCTGTTTCTGACCATATCACTTGCATCTGACTTTCTGGAGACTCCAGGCTGCTGCTCTGTATGGCCTGGACTGGTCCCTAGGGCCCATTGCCCAGCCTTCAAGGAAACCACACAGCGGACCTGTTTGACAGTGTCTTTCCTAAGTTGTATTTTCTCAAACTCCTGGCGATCCTCCTGCCTCAGCCTCCCAAGTGCTGGGATTACAGGGGTGTGTCACCACACACAGTGGCCCAAATTGTATTTTCTAAACAGAAAAGCAAGCTGGCAAACACCAAGCGCCCTTGGCTTGACTTCAGGATGTGTGTGATTTTAACACTCTGCCTCTAGTCAGTGGAAGAGCAGGCTGCCTGTCTTTGGCTGGGGTGCTGCGGGACTCCTGTGACATCCCCAGACACCCTCAGTGGGGAGGGAGGGAGGAAGGGACAGCAGCCTTGCCTCCTCTTGGTGGCAGTGAGGTAACCAGGGCAGCAGTGTGGATGGCAGCAGAGGGAGAGGAATTAGCCAAGTGAGGCAGTGGGAACCCAGAGTCCTCACTCTGGTGGCACCCTGAGCTTTAACTGGTTAGGATTCGAGAGGCTGGGGCTGGAGGGGACAGTGTGTGGCTGGGCAAGAGCAAGGAGTATTTGTGCCTGGTCTGTTGCTTGTCAGGTGGTTGGAAATGAAGACTAAGATTGAAAAAAAAAATCCCTTTGGAGTCTGGTAGGCCTAGGCTCTAATCTCGGCACTAAGAAAGGCTGAGGCAGGAGAGTTCACAAATTCTCTAGCACCAGTCTGGGCAAATTAGGGACTAACTTAGTGAGACCATGTCTTCCAATTAAAAAACAAACAAAAAAACAAGAGAGGCTGTGGATGTAGCTCAGTGTGAAGGTCCTGGTTTCAATCCTCAGTCCTGGAAAAAAAAATTCTTTTGGCTTCCTAGCGTAGACCAGAGGACTAAGTACCAAAGGCCTAATCCTTACTGAGCCCAAGTATGCGCCAGCCGCTGCTCGCAGTGCTTTTCACACAGGTGTCTTATCTGGTGCTTGAGATAACGCGCTGTGGCGGGTGTTCTGATGTCTGTCTGACCGCGGAGGAGACTGAGGCTGGCGGTGGTAAGTGGAGGCCTCGACGTCTGTGCTTGGCCATCTGACTCCAGAACCAGTGCACCATCCCCTTGGCCACACCTCTCGCAGACAGTCGGGAGACTGTCATTCTCCTCTAGGTTGACATCTTCAGTTTTGTCCGTGGTGATGGTATTGGTCCATACTTTCTAAAAGAAGAGAAAAGAAGCTAAATCATAAACAAAAGAATGCTTGAAAAGCATGTTAAAACCTGAAAAGCGTTTGTGCCCTTTTTACTTGACTGTCTGCTAGCACTTTTTTTTTTCCTGGAGAAAAATATAGTACAACCATACCAGAGACCACATAAAGCGATTTGTTAGGCTTTGAAAAGTGATAATGGCCTTGTTCTCATCTTCAGGGTGGAGAGTGGCCAGGGACAGAGAGCACTTTCAGAAGCACCCACTCAGCAAGATTTCCTAAATAGTTCTCTCCTCTCCCGTCCTGACCCAGTAACCTCTGGGCCATTCTGTTCCCCACACTGTCCTGCATAGGGCCTGAGTGGTGTGCTGATACTGGCAACATCTTTTAAGGATTTGAAGACCTACAGACAAATGGCTCCTGGGGACAGGGAACATATCAAAACATAATCCTTACTCAACAGAGTCGAGTTTGGTTTGAACCCAGCAATCAGGGAATGAAAGGTGAGCGTATTAACCTACCATGTTATCTGTAGAGGAGTTTTATATCTTAAATGGAACAGACATCCCAGCAAAACAATAACGGGCCAAGATTAATGAGTTACAGGTGACCCTCGGACACGCCAAGGTTGACTTTGGATAATCACCCACAAAGGTCAAGTGCTTATCTGAATTAACCACAAGTCTTGGATCTGGGGTAAAAATAAAGGACGAGAAATACCCCAGGGAGAGGCTTTCTTCAACCTGAGTTTTGTGTTCATTCTAACCTTCTGCTAAATTCGGCATGGGATTGGCCAGCCCTTTTCTTTTGGCATTTCTATACACATCTCTGGCCTAAACTAGATCTCAATGTTGTGACACAGTAAAAAAACCCAAAAACAAAAACCGAGAGTGGTACTCTTCATACCTCTGGGGCTTCAGAGATGTGCATTGTAGACCAATCTTTTCCACTGGGTATCACATGGAGTCATTTTGATGGCGACTCTGTAAGAGGCAGACAGACTCTGTGCTGCTGCAGTCCCTAGTGCCTGCTCCTGACCCGAGGGTCTGTCTCCTTCACAGTGCACACATGTGGTGGCTGCACTAACATTTTGTGTTTCTGACTCTCATCCTTGGACCCACTTTTAATTTTCCATTTAAGACAGAATGATTCATCCCTGGAGCACTTGTGTGTTCTCATTTATTGAAAAGTGCCAAGACCTCCCACTTCCTTTTCTTGGGTGGAGCTGTAGGACCAACTGCCTTGTGGAGAGGATGTGTCCTGAGGTTTCCTGACTGGAGGGCTCAGGCCTGGGAGCAGCCCCCCTGGGGGGCACAGCTGAGAGGGAAGGGGAAGTTCAGCTGGGAAAATGGGGTGTTGCCTTGCTCGGGAAAGGCCACAGACACCAGGGCGGCTCCACAGCAGACAGCATCCCACCCACGCAGTAGGGTGAACAGCAGAGCTACAGCGAGTCCAGCTGGGCAAGGCACCCTGCCAGTCCAGTCCGCAGAGGACAGAACCCATGTCCCCTGAGAACAGAACTTTAAAAACAACATGGACAGTTTTCTTAGGGCTTTAAGAAACCCAAGGAAATGTGGTAAAACCTGCAAAGAAAGAATGCAGAAACCCGCAAAGGAAGAATGCAAAGAAAGAATTAATCAGGAGGTGGAGAAAACACAGTGCCAGTCTGAGCTACTCAGGGCTTTGCCCCTGGGAGACTGGCCTGGGGACTTTCCAGAGCATTCAAGCAACTGTTTCATCCAAACAAAAGGTGGAGTGGTTTCAGGCCTGCACCACTGAGGAGAAAGTTTGGCTTAGATGGAGATGAGGGAAGACAGGAGCCAGGGGTAGGGGAAGGGGAGCTCTCCACCCACCCAGGTGGAGATGGGGACCAGGGATGTGGCCCTGAAAACTGCCTGGAGAGGTGATCCTCCATCTGAGAGGTGGAGGATGTGCTGGGGCAGTTCGGGCTTTCGGCACAGGTCATGAGGATCTTGTTGTGACATAGCTGGGGACAGAGAAGCTGCTGTGCTGGCCTTGGAATGGTTTTAGATAACAGATATGCTCCTCGGAGCTGCCAGACATCACTGAGAACAGGTTACTCTCTTAACTTTCATCGTAATCCTATGAGATAAGCACTAACTTTATTTCTTTTTTACTGAAGAGGAAACTACAGTAAACACTGAGTTGGGAAGTAAAGGCTCAAGACTTGAACCGTGAAAGTGTGGTCTCAGCCCACAGCTTTGCAAGGTTCTTATAGCAAAGGCAGAGTCTGCCAGGCCACTGTAGGGCTAATAGGTTCTAGTAGGTCAAGGACTCTGTCTTCTAAGAGCAAATGGTAGTTTTAAGGAGGGCCTGCATAGACTCATGCTTTGAAAAACATCTTTCTGGCTGTAGTATGGGGAAAGATTCACTTAGCTACCGTTTTTCTAAACTTTGATTATGATTATGTTTCCTGTGGAAGTCTGTTGAGAAGGAGGGAACACATAGATCATATGGAATCAAGAATTTCAACCAAGATGGTCATTTCTTACTTTAATATACCTAACCAGGCATGGTGGTTCATGTCTATAATCTCAACACTTGGAAGACTAAGCCAGAACAATCTCAAGTTCAAGGCCAGTCTGGCTTTGCAGCAAGGCCCTGTCTCATAAAAATACTATTAATAATAATGTATCACCTTTTTAGAATGGTAGAACCTTTCAGAATTCTTTTTTTTTCTGCTCATGATGTTTTGAGTATTCTAGTTCCTACAACATTTAGTTCTGCATATAAACTAATAAAGTAGTCTGATTTGACGGATCAGAGTCCTGAGATAAGTCAGGCAACCTCCTCTTGGAGAATTGGTTCACTCTCTACAAACAGGAAGTTCCTGGCTTGCAGGAGGACTGTGCAGACCACAGTGAGTGCACGAAGTGATGGCTCTGCCCATGGCTACTCGAGGAGGAGCCTGCAGCCCTCGCCCCCCCCAAGGTGACAGCTGGTGACCATGGCACACAGCTTCCCCAGACTGGACTCCACAGCTGCAAGTTGTTCTTGTCCTCTCCTTTTCCTTCCCCTTCTCCCCCTCCTCTCTCTCCTCCTCATGCTTCTGGTGCAAGGTATTCAGAAACTGGGGCAGGTACACAGTACTGGGCACCCTGCTCCGGGTGCATCTTGATGGGAACCAACAAGAACAATGCAGGGTCCCAGGCTCAAGCGAGTGTGATGTTGAACATGCATGGAAATACGAGAGAAACCCGCTTAGCATACCTGGGGCACAGGAGGGAATCTGGGCTTCAATTTACAATGGGATTCAGGGTAAGAGCCCTGGGATTGGAGATGTCAGACTGGAGCTGGCATTTATGATCTCAAGACAGACAAGATGTAGCTGGAATCCAGTACAGGTAGCAAAAAGAGGAGGTCTGAACCTGAGCACTGGGACTCTCAACTCTTAGCGGCAAGGAGGTGAAGACAGAAGCCTGGGACACTGGCAGAGAAGGCTGTTTGTCTCTAAGGCTAGAGAGAAACTGGGGAGAGCAGGGTGTCCTGGAAGGAAAATTCAGATATATTTGTGGCAAGGGGAGGAGGAGAGGACTCTGTTCTCGGCGAAATGATTTAAAGTACAAATGAGATGGAGACTGAGTGGTTTTGCAAATGTGGGTTTGGTGTCCTTAACAGGGTAATGTTTGCAGTATTGGGAATTGAACCCAGGCCCTTGAACATGCTAGGCAAATGCCCTACCATTGAGCTGCATCCTCAGCCCAAGACAGTTCTGATGGGATGTTTGCAGTGGGGAGCAGGAGGGCAGGGCTGATGGGATTGGGTTTAAGCGGGAGTGGGAGGAGAGAAATAAAGAGCACACAGGGTTTCTTTGGGCACTTCCATTGGCAAGAAGAGCAAAGAAATGGAGCAATTGCTGGAGAGAGATGTGGCATCAAAGGTCCTTCCCTCCCTCCTTCTCTTCCTTCTTTCCTTCCTTCCTTCTTTCGTAGTGCAAGGTATTAAACCCAGGGCCCCATGCTTGCTAGTCAAGCAGTCCATTCCCAAGCTACACCTAACACTGCTTTTCATTCATTGTTGCTATTTTTGCTTTTGAGTTTTGAAACAGGGTCTTGCTATGCAGTCCAGGCTGGCTTTGAACTCACTATGTAGCTATGGCTGATCTAGAACTCACTGTGATCCTCCTGCCTCAGCCTCCCAAGTGCTGGGATTACAGGCCTGCGCCACCATGCCCAATTATTGTCTTAATTCTTAATCAGAGAAAAGAGAGTTTATTCACACATTACAGCGATGGCTCAGCAAGGGGAGGGAGACTGATGGTACCGGAGAGAGGGAGGGTCCTACTGCAAAGTGGGGGGACTGGCCCTGGCTGGGAGCCGCAATAACCCATCCAAGCCACAGAAGGACAGCTGGAGTACAAGGCACTCACAGGGGCAGGCGGGGAGGGTGCTGGGGGCCCTTTTTGTGTGAAATAGGAGGCAAGGGATTGACGAGGAGCAATCAGGCCAAGGAGCGTTGAGGAGAGGAGTCAGTGTGAGACTGACCTGGCTGAACACTGAGCTGCAGGGGTGCAGGCAAAAACTTGATTTGATTTCAATCAGGGACTGTCATTTGCCAGCACAGTGAGGTGGGAGAGGAGCCAGGCGCTACTGACGGTGGCAGGACTGGAGCCAGGCAGGAGGGAGAAGTGAGCATGGATGTTGGGAGGAAGCGACCGGGCAGCAGCCTCTACCTCCAAGGACTGAGTCCCAGTGGAAGAGACCCCTGCACCGAATGACCTCTGACCTTTATGCTAAGAAACCTCTCACCATCTCGAAGTTCAAATTTCTGTACATTTTGGTGGAGACAACAACGCGTGCGCGCGCACACACACACACACACACAGCACTCCTGCCTTTTTCTTCCTTAACAGGAATTAGGAGAGTGCCCGGGCCCCAGGGGTGTGAGCCTTCGGTGACTCTTCAAAGGTTTTGGAGAAAAGAAGAGGCCCTTAGAGAAGCCAAAATAAGGCAAAAAGGCAGGAGGGAGCCTTTGAAAGGCAAGTTTAGCC